TCTTTTCAGGTATTGCATCTTTAAAATTTATAGATAACTAAAATGTTCAATTCGTGTCTTGATGATAATTAACGTTTGGAGAATGGTACGAAAATGCAATCGAATTACTTCATTGAAGATTGTGAGAAAGTTTTGCTATATGTATGTCTAATTTTAAATATCGATAGGAGATTAAAAAACCCGCATTTCAATTATTTGATCATTTAGATCGAAGAACATTTGCGAAAAATCATTAGATTTTGGTTTTGGAAACGTATTCACAGAAAGTTTTGTCATGTTTTTACTTCAAACGCCACCTATTGAACATACTGAAAAATATATTTCATCATACCATTCGACATCATTTCTAACCGATCAATAGACGTCAAATACTATTTTATATTCAGACTATTCACGCTGTATAATGTGTTCATTTCGAAGTTGACGTTTTCATGTCAGTTTCTTCGTCGCTGATATCAGATGAAGAAGATGTCTGAAAGTCATATCCGAAAATATAATGTTTCTGACCTGCCACTTGGTGCGGGCTAGCGTAAGCTCCTGTTAAACTTGAATGACAGGCAAAAATGTGCGGAGAAGTTTCCCCAGGTCCGTCTGTTGCGGTATCATCAGTCGAATCCGGAACTTCATTTTCCAACACATAATTCTCAGCAGCTGATTTTTCAGTAGCCGATTCCTCCTCGGCCACCGAATATTCCTGTACGGATGGTTCAGATGAAAAAACAGCTCCTTTGTTTTCGTTACTTGTCTGTGAAGTTGGTATGTTTTGTGATCGTTCTTTGGACGGAATATTTTCTGAATAGTCTTCGTCTTCCTCTTCCAGTTGCTCTAGCTCAGTGCTTCTACTTTGATCGGCTCTCTTATTACTTTTTTCGCCGATTTGATCATTCCTTGAAGCAGTTTGACTCCTTGAAGAAACATTTTGGCTTCTTGACGCTGTTTGACTCCTTGAAGCAGTTTGACCCCTTGAGGCATTTTGACTCTTTGCAGCATAATGATTTTTTGAAGCATTTGGACTCGTGCCATTCTTCTCTTTTTGAGTCCTGCTTTTTTCGACCGTTACTGTTGCTTGTTCGTGAATTGAACCACTTTCTTCTGGTGTCCACAGATCTTCGGGAATCAGAGCTGATTTCAGGGCTTCGTCTCTGCTTTTTTCCATGTTCTGATCTGAGACACCTTTCTTTTTCATACGCCCTCTTTCGTGTGCATCGTATAAATCACACCAGCATTCATCTATGTGTACTTTATCAGCAGAGGGTTGCACACCGACGTCTTTTCCCTGAACGGTTAGCGTCCTTGAAGTTGAGAAAGACGTCCCGGCGTGTTTTGGACATGGAATGGGGGATATTTCTATCGAAGGTCTTCTGCTGAAGCTGACACGTCTAACGTCATCTCTGCTACTGCTGTACAAAGGCTCTCCTATAGGAATTTTGGAAGCCTTGGTTTTGGCCTCTTTATCGATGGTAGACACTTCAGTGATTTCGCTTATGGACGGGAGCTTCTTCATGGTGGTTTTCGTTTCGATTATAGCTGGTTTGCTAGTACTTTTTCCGTACGGAGCAGTGTACGGAGGATAGCATACTGTGACCGGGCTCTTATATGTTTTTTCCTTCTTCCGCTCTTCCGCTTCGTATTCGCTGGTTAGGGAGCTAGTGTAAGGTGTTGTTTTGGATGTTTGTGAGGCAGAATATTTCTGAGATCCTTCCTCAGATTTTTCGGCGGACTTGGAGGATTTTGAAAATAGCGACCATTTACTCGATCCGCTGCTGGTGGTGTTGTAATTTGGCTTTTTTGGCTTGGAGCTCTTTTCTTTCGACTGGTTTTTTCTGATTCTGTAACAGATGAACGCCGTGCCGAGGATAAACCACAAAATAATCGTCACCAGCATTACCACTATAACAATGGTGGATTTAGAAGTCTTTTGGGGTGGAGTTGAGGGCATAGCGCCGACTTCTTCCTCGAGTTCTGGGGCGCAAGTAGTTTCGGTGTTAGCCCTCGCCCCCAGAGCTTTCAAAGTCTCCTCCACTCTCAGGATACCTCCAAAGGCGGAGTAAAACTTATCGTCGTTCAGTTTGGGCAATACTTCTTTCTCTATGAAGCTAAAGAGGTTGTTTTGGAACTTAATAATCGCTTCTTTGCCTGACCGCTTGTCCTTCATGCATTGCATAGCCGATATGAAGAACTTCAACAGAAAGTAGGAAGCTTTTCTGGATTCGATGTTCCTCAGCGCGAACCTCCTAAACGGAACCGCTATGGAACTGGGTCTCACTTTGGAGTCAAAGAAAGGCATTGGAAAGAAAACGTCCATTTGGGTGGCTGAGCAGTTCGTCTCCTTTCGTCTCTCATTTTCGTAGAATATGAGTCTGTCGCAGCAGCTTCTGTCGCCTTTTGGGGTTTCTTCCGATAAATTGATTGGTTCCACTTGAATCACCGGCTTGGATTCGATGGGTCTGGACCAACCTTGCCCGTTGGTGCGGAGGAACCACTTAAGCTCTTCAAAGAGCTGGATGATTCTCACCATGCTGGTGAAATCTACGTGTCCTGCATAAAACGCGTGTCTTGCTATCGGTAGAACCGCGAATTGAAGGTACCCGCCGAGTAAATCCGTTAGAGCCAGAAGTGTAATGTGCCTTTTCCTACCTTGCGTGGTAGCTTTTACCACCTCTATCAGCAATCTGAAGTAGTCCACAATATCGTCGATGAAGGCGTTGCTATCGATTTTCAGGACAGTGACTTCGGGGAGAATATCTTCCAAAATCATTCTGGTGGTGAGAATTGCGATTTCGTCGGGTGACCAGCACTGCTTGTAGACGTCGGCAGCGGTGAAGAGAACTGTTCCCATTCCATTGGTACTGGGTCCTCTGTCACAATTGTTTCTAGAAGATTTTACTAGAAATATGTTTGAAAAAATAAGTAAAAAAGGGTAAAACTTTGACATTTTCATTGAATATAAGGGTTATAATACCCTGTCAAAGTCACTTTTAACATTAATTATACAGGTCATTTCACATAAAATTGTAAAAAGTAGGGAAATGGGTTTCAAGTTTAATCACGTAATAATTGAATTTGATGAGTTCATGTGGAACTCACAAAAGTTTTTTGTGTCGATTATTTATCATGTCATACATTCAAAACTCCTGTTATTTCAGAAGACGTTATTTAAACTTTCCTCTCATTGGGAAGTTTATGGCCAAATAAGAAATAAAAGGGCAGTGTCCCATGTATGTTTATATAATTATAAAAATAATAATATCCAAGCCCCTGACCTTCGCTTTCCTCAGGTCGAGTGGGCTGAAGTCGGAAACTGAGCAAGGATGGCTTGCCAAGATGATGTCTTCAACACCTTACTCTACCGCAGTCGCGTGATGGGTATAGAGGTTCCTGACACAAGGTGCAGGGCCTGCCGCGAGGCGCCCGAGACCCTAATGCACTTGCTATCAGCATGTCCAGCATATGCGGTCTCGGCCTATATCCATCGACATAACGCGGCTCAAAGAGTGCTATATTACCATCTATGGCACTCTTACGGTATTGACGAGACACCGGTGTTGCCCTACGCTCCGGGGGATATTGAATCCGTCGTGTGGAACGAGAAGTGCCGAATTCATTATAACTATTCGTTCCCCACCCTCAGGCTCATACAAGCTAATACGCCTGATGTAGTCCTTCTCGACCACCAGAGCAAGACGATATTTGTTGTGGAGTTTTCAGCTCCTGACGAGACGAATATCGTCCGAAAATAGGAGGAAAAACGGATAAAATATCGAGATTTTCTCTTCGAAATCCACATACCCTATTCAGACCACTCTGTCAAGATCGTTGTTCTTATTATTGGGGTCCTTGGGATAATGATGCATTCTCTATTCTCGAATGTCAAAATCATTATGGCTTATCGCACAAAGGCAGAAATCTTAGCCGGACAATAGATTTGTTGGAAGTATTGTGGAGCTCAGTCGTGAAATGATCAGTGATGACGGCATGAATGTCAAGGGGTAAGATATTATCCATTAATAATAATAATAATAATATTATTTATTTCACTTGTTGAACAGTATGAAATCATTACAATAAACATTTACATACAGTAACAAGGAAGACGTCCATGTATAACTAAAAATAAATATATATAGAAATATAAAACAACAAAACATGACAGATACTAAACTGTACATATAAAGGTAATTAACAATGTTTTTATTGAGAGTAACTATTAAAACTCGTCAACGGTGTAGCAGTTTCATTCAATGAGTCATTCCATCCGGCTTGCTTTTAAGAAAATGTGATCTATAGAAGATTCGTGGTTGTGCTGAATTCTTGTTGGACAATTTATCATTGAAATAAAACCGAATTCGTTCATAATCTATAGTATTATCACTATTATCTAGTATATAGGTCAATATTTAGATCGCCAACAATTCACAATCGAAACTCCGTGAAGTAACTTGGCTTGAAATCTTTAAATTTTTATTTCTTTTCAATTGTTCGATTCTTTCAGAGATTTTCGAAGTACCTGTGGAATATCAGAGTACCAAAACTGGCAAATGAGATCATTAACATAACTGATATTGATTAAATACAATACATTTACTCCTTTGAAAGAAAAAATGTTTATAAAATATAAACGTACATCAATTTAACATATGACAGTACTCGAATGGGAAAAAACAAATTAAAAAATATTAGTTAACTTTTAAACTTTCAATTTTGACGTTTGACCAATAAGAACTAATTTTAACATGCTGTTACTCCGTTTATATTGTCTCTATACCTAGACACTGTACACCCGTCATTCTACTGTTTTTTAAAAGCTTCATTTTGACTGATAACGATTTTTTCAATAAAGTACTTACCTTCCGAGTTATTCGCGTATAACTGTCTAAAAACGTGAGTTTATTGGTTCAAAAATTGACATTTTCATTCGCGAATGAGTCGAAAAGTATTCACTTACAGTAAAAACTTTATATAACAAAAGTTGCTTACAATTAGTCAATCTATTCATTCTCGGACTTGTCTCCAATGGATTATCTCCCCTTCCTCGAGAAGGAATGGTAACAACCCCAGGGTAAAAGCAACCCCCGGCACAGGATCAACTTTGGCCTTCAATGATTGGTTCCATATTTACTGTTACAGTTTCGTGAAAGTTGTGTGAGTGTTGAAAGGGAACTGCATAATCATCTCCAGTGGGTAATCTGGCGTGAGATGTGTTTCCGTCAACTTTCCCGCAACTTTTTATAGGTTTTATAGACAGCATTTCTATTTTAGGGCTTTACGTGGGCGCCATATGAGGCCATCTGGAGTGGAAACAATACGAGACCATCGAGAAAATAAAAATTGATTAGTTTAGTTTCAGAATTTTCAATATAACCGTACCCAACCTTTTATGGAAGATAAAGAAAAGAGGTATTTTTTGAAAGTAGGCGTGAGAAGAAAGAAGATCATGCCGGTATCTGGTATTTTGCGTGGGGAACGTTGAATTAGAGGTGAAGTAAATTACCTTGGATTGAGAGAGTTGAATACATACGAAACAAAGTTATTTTTAAATCTAAAGAAATGAACTTTAAACGTTCAAGCCAGTCTCGAATATACCTACACGGTAGGTTGAATGGACTGACGCCAATCAGAAAACAACTACTCCCCTGGCAAATACCATGAAGGGCGTTGGATTATATCAGACAGACGTCAGTGCAGGAATTTTCACAAAAAATTTCCTGCATATCCTGTCAGATATAATCCAACGCCCTTCATGGTATTAGCCAGGGGAGTAGTTGTTTTCTGATAGGCGTCAGTCCATTCAACCTACTGTGTAGGTATATTCAAGACTGGCTCGAACGTTTAAAGTTCATTTCTTTAGATTTGTTTACTGTCAGTCTTCAAGCATAGCCCACTGACTAATAAGAAAGTTATTTTCACTTTGAATATAATTTCGATGAATTTTATAGAGTTTCAAATGGCGCTCATGTCATTGCCCAGGACGAATATAAAAAAAAAATGAAGAAATGTATGTCTATTTCAGAATGATTGCAACATATTGGTCATTGCACTATTTATATTTCACAATTCGAGCCCCGAAAACTGTAAGTTTTCAATCAAAAGTTTGACTTTCTGAACCATAAACTACATCCAAGCACGATTTATGCTGTTCCAGAAATTAAAAAGTGTCATTCAGTGAAAAAATCGAATTAACACGGAACACTGTCAACTATGATAGCAGGGGAGCCCACGATGCAAAATGGGGATAAACTCGAGCGTCATTGAGTCATATTAGGTTGCAAAGCTTAGATGATAAGAAGAAGAAAATGTTATATAATATATACCTTTTCATCGGTGGGGGAAGCGGCTATAAATTTTTATATATGTAAAGAAATACTGTTGCATGGACATACTCGAGCGCGTTAGATATTGATAGCATCAATGTTCTACGTATTTTTAATAATGTTGGTATGTTAATCTGATCGTTTGCATGATGTGGGTGATTGCACGTAAGGGTTAAAAGTGAAAAGAAAAAAATTAATCGAAGTGCAACAAAAAAAGCTCTTATTCAATAATCTGACGATTTCGATCTGACGCAAACTCGCGGCCACTATTATAACGTGCAAAAAAATTCGCCATTTTGAAATACTCAAGCGCGTCAGATTAAGATATATATGGTTCATCTTTATGTTTTAGACGTGCTGTCTCATAATCTGACGATTATCTAAAGGGATTCGCTTAATCTGACAAAAACAATATTTTTTTTTCAATTCATTAAACTTAATTGATTGAAAAGCTCAGGAAATAGCATGCAAATAAATTAGTTTATGTTTTTTAAGTAGAATACTTGTATTCATAAGAAAATAATTTTTTAAAAATGCTCAAAAAAATTTAATTTTTTTATAATCAATTGAATAATTAATGAAGAAAAGAGAAATGAAACTTTCCATGTTTTTTACCACTTTTATTTGTAACTAACGTTACTGCAGTTTCGTCCTATAAGGACATTTTCAAACTTATATATTGTATAAGTTTGAAAATATCCTTATATATTGTATTATGATGGAGTTTCAAGTCATCTGCGATAAAAGGAAATTGACATCAATCTCAGCTCCGAATTAATGAACATATTGAACAGTAGGAATTCTAGATTTGATCCTTGTGGTACACCAGACGTGGCTATATATTCGATAGACTTGAAGCCATTGAGTTGGACGTACTGCTTACGGTTGTAAAAATACGATTTGAAGAGGGTAATAAAATCATTGGATAACCCAAAAGTCGAAAGCTTGTTGGGCAAAATACTATGGTCAAGTCTGTCGAACGTTCTAGAAAAATCAGTGTAGATGACATCAGTCTGAGACTGACAATCAATATCCTCTGCAATACATTGAGTGATTGTTACAAGATTGGTGGCGGTTGAACGTCCTTTCATGAAACCGTGTTGATTGGAGCTAATAATGTTGCTGACATGACAATAGATTGTCTTCTCAAGAAGCAGATCAAACACTTTACAAAAGTTGCATATAATAGAAATTGGTCTGTAATTTTTGATCTCACTTTTATCTCCTTTTTTGAGAATTGGGCAGATTTTCGACATTTTCCTTATTGATGGTACAGTTGATGTTTTCAAGCATCTATTAATTAGAGTTGTTAGTGGTTCAAGCAGAGCTGAGGCACAATCTTTATGATGAATGCTGGAATATGATCAGGTCCCACAATAAATGTATGTCAGGCTTTGCAACAATTACTAAGAGAGAAAAAACTACTTGCAATAAGATTAAGTTTAAATTGTTTATAAAAGCATATCATAGTTGAAAATAAAATTGTACTACTTCAACACTACTTCTTTCTCATTGTGTTTTTTTTACGTCTATGTAGATTCTTTCACGAACACAAACTATTACATTTCAAAGCACTTTTCACGCCTGATAATTACTAACATAAATTCTTCAACGATGATGGCTTCTAAAGTCAACTTTCCCTGCTTA